TGGCAGAAACGGCAATGGCGAGTCTCACACTCTTCGCTGGGCAATAGGAATATGAGAGAGATCACTCAGCACCGGACTTTCAGTTGTCTCGGTAGCATCTTGGGTTACAGTCTGTCCATCAATCTATAAATAGAGCAACAACATTCAGTGGAACACTGCACAAAGAAGAGCATTGAGAGATGCAGCAGCGAACAGCAGCAGCAGCACTAGTGCGCTGGCCAATGACAAGCCCCACTGGTTGAGCACATCAGCGGGCGCTGGCAATGCTTGGAAGAAAGGACAACCACAACGGTTAGAGACTATTACCAATGCCGATACGCGTAAATATTTGTCTGATTGGCGACAGTGCGAAGGAGAAAGAGAGGCGGACAGATGAGACTCACTGTATTGAAAGATGGAAGATGGCCAGATTGGGGCACTGTGCATTCCGTCCGTCTGGGTGTCAGGAAGGTGCCTGCTTGCCTCACTGCCTCACTCACTCACTGGCCGCACTTGTGGCTGCTAAGGAGGGCTGACAGCAGCCAGCGACTAACCATAACAATTGCTGGTCAGAGTTTACAAACAATCTAGCCAACTGACATCCTTGCTCACTTCGGCTGCTCATTAGTGATCAGCAGACACATCAACCAGCCAGCCAACCAACCGACCAGCCAGCCAGTCAGCCTACGTTCCATCGGCGCAGTGTGTGCTGGTGATGTTTGCGCCAACAGTGTGCGATCAACAGTTGTCCGAGTTTGCGCCCTTACACGAGGGCTATGGCCGGAATGGCGAAAAAGCCACCCAGCAGCACCATTTCGTGACTGCCGTTCAGGCAAAAAACTCGCACTCGCTGGCTGCATCTGCTCGCATCGGTGTGCTTTGCCCAGCCAGGCACTTCAGTACATGTGTGTGTGTGTGTATGCTTGTGTGAATCCATGAAGTGAAGGCTGAAGCACGAGCGAAATGGCAAAACAGTGCACACTTAATCCGCTGCTAAATCGATAGAGTTGCTTGAATCACAGTCGCCGAGCCGGTGGTACAGCACTGCCACACCGGCTCGGCGCTAGGCGACACTTTGCGGCAACGCCTGGTGCTAAGCAGAGAGAATCGTCCAATGTTTGCTCAAGAGTGAGCTGCTGCTGTAACCATCTGCAGGACCGCTGTCAACGCACACTAATTCAGTCGTTGAGCTTTTTATTATCTAATCAGCCGGTGGCAGTAGGTAGGTAGGTAAGCAAGCAAGCAAGCAATGTCGCAATAAGCCTCCCTGCCTGGAAGTGTTCAAGGCAATCACACACGCACAAACAGTCGCCTAATCGGTGCCGTCAATTGGCTTCAATTGTGCCCAGTTGGGTGGTCAGTAGCGGGAATACTTAGGGAGGGGGGGAGGCATTTGAGTAAACGTGGGTATGAGCAAGTGCACGATGGATGAGCAGAGCAGTGGGGAAGGACAGGCGTCCGTTCATCACCAAATGGCGTCTAATTTACTCGTGACGTGCAGCCACAGTCAAGTGAGCAAGTGAGCACGACACACACACACACACACTAGTGTGCAGGGCTGCAACTAATTTACAGGGCCATCTTGAACAGGTGAGTCGGTTGCAGTTGGAGAGGCTTCTTCTTAGCCAGCTGAACTGTCGGCCAGGCAGGCAGACCAGCCGGCAATTGGCGTCCTTTCTCAGAGTCGCTCTCTCTCTCACGGTGAACACATTTGCAAAAATTTTTTGTACCATCGCCAAATTTGGTATCGTTGGAAAGCTTAGGACCAGAGGAACAAAATGGCCTAAGCCGTTTAGCCCTAGCAAATCTGGTTCGTCCACCAGGGGGCGCACAAGGTCATGACTTTCAAAAATTTTTTTTGAATTTATGAGTAAGTTTTTTTAAATAAATTGTTCTTTATAATATAGATAGAGCCTGTGCATACCAGTTAAATTTTAGTTTGTCAAAATCCGCTAATTAGATTAAAATTTATGAGCAAAAATTCAAAAAATGTTGTATTTTGTGTTTTTTAATCATTTTTTTCGCTGTCTAGATCATTGCAAAGCATTTAATTGTAAAATTCTATAATAGTTTTAGCCTGCAGGGTACTTATTTTTAGTTTTTAAAGATTTTTAAATTGACCGGAAGTGGAAGATCGGTTATCGATTTTCTACTTCCGGTTGGTATTTTGTTCCGAAACTATTTTTAATCGATTCCTCGTGTTGAAAAACCATAAATAGGTATTTTGGTGAGTAATATTTAATTAAAATTCATTAAAATTTAAATTGATTAATTTTGTTATTTTTACAAAAATTTCTAATGTGTATTTTGGTCTTAATTGATGGGTGCCTGCTAGGTACCAGCTACATGTTTGGTACTGATAAAAAGCCAATAAATAGGAGAACTCAACGCCGTTTACTGTTTGTTTCTAGCAAATCTGGTTCTCTCACCAGAGGGCGTAAAGTATCAAAGTTATGAAGTCACCTTAAACACTTGTCAACTTTATGGGCCTAATTGCTAGGTGCCTGTTAGGTACCAGTTTCAAATTTTGCGATGGTACAAAAAATTTTTGCAAATGTGTTCACCGTGTCTCTCTCTCTCTCCGCCAACGGGGGATGCACCTCTGCTGGCAAGTAGAACACTGACTCGCCTTCTCAGGTAATTGTCGATTAATCGATAGTTCTCATCATTTTCAGCAGAATGATCATCCGTCGCACTGGCAAGTGGCGCCAGTAATGCAGGTCTCTTCCCTTGTGCAACTGAAAATGATGCCAGCGGAATGAGGTTGCCTTGCTTGTTTGCATTGCGGTTAGGTGTGCGGCAGGCAGGGTGCCGGTGAAAGCAGGAGAAGGAGAATTCTTTCAACGGACGACTGGAACACGTCGGCAAACTGCTCTGCTCTGCCGCCGTCCTGTGCAAACAATGCCTGAGCACTGTACACCGGAGTACATGGGGTGTACGATTGCACGGAGAATCAAATTAAGGTGTCAATGGTACGTCAAGGCGCGCGAGCTCACAAGCGGGCACAAGTAGTAGTCGACCAGACAAATAGACAAATTGCAAAGCAGGCAAAATTACAGTCTTAAGATTGTCTGGCAAATTATAATGCAGCCATGTAGGGGAATCTGCAAAGTCAATGTCCGTGCTGGTAGCTGTAGTGGTGGTTTTTATATCAGCAAATTGACCATCTAAATTAGCCACTGAGCAAGCAGTACACAACAGTGACACGCAAACGATCAATGACAAGTAAAATTGACAACTCTCCTCGGTGGGTGATTAGTGCGGTCTGACCAGAAACGTCGGCAGAAAGCTGCTTCTGTTGCTGCTGCTGCTTCGGTTGAAGTTTGGCCGCGCCACAAACACACCGCCACCGACTATGACCAGCACTAATCAGTTGAAAGGCTGCCGCCGTCAGACTTATTTGCATAAGGCCAATCAGTAGGCAACTGCTACTGTTGCTGGTGTATGTGTGTTCTGCTGTCGTTGCTGTCTGCGGCACTGTCGCACATGCCAACACAAGAAGCAGTGCTGGCGGATCAAGTTACGGTAGATCATTTTTCAAAAGTAAAGAATTGACACGACTAGCACTTTTTAGGTATAGCATTTTTTGGGAGTGCACCTTTTTTAATGCACAAAAACTAAAACTGGCAACAAAAACGTGGTGAACACTTACGGGATATGGAGAAAACACTCAATGTTGAGCCGAGAACAAGACGGTAAATTGAGTCAATGCGATCATCTCACGAAGGAGAATGAACGAGATCGATAGAGGAAAAATGTGTAGAATGATATATGTAGAAAAAATCACAAACATAAAAGGAGGACAGGAGTGGCATGACACTGGCCAGCAGACCTGGACACGGGTAAAACAGAGACAGGACTGATCGTGGGACAAATGACGGGCAGGAGCCTAGCTGGCGGTAAGGTCATCTGGAAAGGTATTTCGCTGACAATGGATAATAACAGTTGACCACATCGGGGCCGGGAGGAGGAGGAGGTGGTGGAGAGAGAGCGAGCGGTCAACTGTTCACTGGGAAATGGAGATGGCCTCTCTCGGGGCAGTTCTCTCTGGCTGTGTCCCAGCACCGCAATCCCAGCGTTGCCTAGCTGTGGCTGTGGTCCGAGGAAAAGAACGGGATCGATGACAGCTGCCCGGTCACGAGTGCCACGGTGACATGCTGGGCAGTGGTGGGGTCAGGGGCCGAGCGGACGATGACGACAACGACGACGACTTGCTGCCGATAAACAGAAAACAGAGAATGGTGGTGGTGGCGGTGGTAGTGGTGAAGTGCCAGTGCAGGCAATCGGACACTCGCTGGCAGAGTTGTGCCGTGAACGGATGCAAGCCAGTTTGCTTAGCGGCAAAACCACTGTTGCGCGACCACAGCTCTGGAGGAGCAGCGCCCTGTGGTTGGTGCTCCCCACCCATGATTGAAACTTACAATGACTCACCTAGTGGCTGCACTTCTCTCTCTCCTTGCCCACTGATCGAACAGTGTTCCAGGTTAATGGCACTCGCTTTTATGGCTCACACTGGAACTGAAAAGGCGTCAACCCTTACCGTCTTGAGACAGGAGTCATTAGAAAGGCGTCTTTGTCTGGTGTCTTTGCCACTAAATACGTCTCAGAAAGTGATCAGTGCGATTTGACTGCCAAAAAGCGGCAGCTCTGATAAAACACAAGTGGCCTTTATTGCCAAATTCTTATTGATGTGTGGTGTAGGAGTGGTGTGTGGAGAGGGAGGCAAACGAGGTTTAGTTATCACTTGCTGCCTCGGATAGGGTGGGTAACAAGACAGTTGTTGTTGTTGTTGTTGTAAACCAGGATTTGTACTTGAGGAAAGAAATGAAACATGCAGGTCAAACAGGTCACTCATTGGAGTTGTGCTCTTCAAATAATTGGTTCACAATGATTAATATAAGTAAAATAGCAATAAATTCTAGGTAAAGGAAAATGGAATTGGCAAGCCCAAAGTAGTCAATGGTACAAATCGGATTTGATGCTGATTAGTGTGATAAATAGTAATCAAAGGTCGTCGACGATCAGCGCGTGCCAGAACCCGAGTGGTTGATCAGCCACTGCAGAGTTATGTCTGTGGAATTTAGAAAACAAAAAAATATGAATAAATCACAGTTAAAAATCAGAATAAGAATCGTACCAATATTTGTCTTGTCTTTGCAAGAAATGGAATAGCAGCATATTTCGCGATCTTGCAAGGAGCCCAAATCGCTGTAGTGAAAATGAATAAAATATTAGCAGAGTTCAAAAGAAGCAGCAAAAAATCAGTTACAGTTGTTCAATCAGCTGCTTCTCGTCTAGTGCACCAGGAAGATCTTTTTTGTTGCCTAGCACCAAAACAGGAATTCCGTCCAGTTGAGGTTTGCCAAGAAGACTGTGCAATTCAGTTCGCGACGCTTCAATTTTGGACTGATCAGCTGCATCCACCATGTAACTAGGAGCGGGAAAGTAAAAGTTGATTACAAAAATGTCCCATAGTATAAATAACCGCACTACTCACATAATGGCATTCACTCCTCGACAGTACTTTAGATGTAGAAAATAAACGATCATTTAAAAGCCTTAATTTGAAGCAATGCCTCACTCCGTTACCTTTTCCCACATCGAGCGGAACCTGGGCTGTCCGCCAATATCCCAAATTTTAATTGAAACATTTCCTTTGGTTACTTTTCGCATATTGAAGCCAACAGTGGGAATCATATCTTCAGAGAATTGTCCAGACTAGAAATAACAACACAGTTAGTGTTCCTGGTGTCAAATAAAAGTCAAATACGCATACAGCAATCACTGTGACAAATGTAGTTTTTCCTGAATACTGCAAACCCACAAGAGTGAGCTCGAGTTCCTCTTTCCAGAAAAGACTTCGTAACCAGTCCAAGAAGCGTTGAAAAATGGCGAACATGATTCTGCCGTTTGGATACCGACTAGGATTTTTTCCCTTGACTCTTGATTTTTGGCACAAAGTACAAAATGTTTGTTGATCAGGAGTAACAACTGCTCGCCTGCAAAGATTAAAAGGTTGATTTGAAAAAGTCTGCAGGTTACATACAGTTATTGCACAAACCGATTGCACCAGTGGAATGCAGTGCGTAGTGAAACGAAGCTGTAAACAGCTGTTGAAAAGTTGTACACAAGTTGATGAGAGTGAAAAGACAGGCTACAGCTTGGAACTGAAAATTGCTGATTTAGCAAAAACAAAAGAATGGGGACGTAGAAAGTGCCTGTCTGGTAGAGATAACCGTATCTAAGGCCCAAGTGTTTTTGTGGTCAGCCTTTTGACAGCTGTTTAGCATCGAGTCGATGGCAAAAAATGCAAAAATATCTCACTTTAACGCAACCGTTCACAGAAGACGTACTTTAAAAAATCAACAAATTGTTCAAAAAGTTAACATCTCATTCAACAACAACATCGTCACTATCTTCTTCGTTATCGCCATCACTTTTACCAGGCAAACTCAGGGGAACATCTGCCCAAGACAAGGTCACCATTCCATTGACCGACTGGCTCATTTTTGACGTCTGCTCGGCTGGCTACTCCACGTCATCGTATTTCGTCGTCCTTATTCTGTCACGGTTGAAAGCTTATCGGTGATTTGTGATACCTCTTGATAAGGAAAGAGTCATTTCATTGCCAAAACAGCCCCTTCAAGACCGTCTGATTTCAAGAACACATTCCTCATACGATCAGTTAATTTTGCGAGCAATTTCTAATTCCTGATAAAATAGAATGCCCCCATGATTGGTAACTGAAGAGAAATCTCTCAGGCAGCAAACAGGTGAGTATTTTTAATTTGTTTGTCATTGCTTGCCAAACACTAACTGGAAAACGATTAATTGCAGAGGGTGTTTCAATTTTTTAATGAAAACAAATGCAGTTGTTTCTGTTCTTTGATAAAGCTTCCTTAAAAGCCGCAATTCAGCTGCACCGGAAAATACTTTCTGTAGTAGGCAAGCACTTTCGACATTCAATCTCTCCTGTTTATCAAGTGTCTAGTGAGCTTTGATCATGGCATGATCACCACTACAGTTGCCAGCAGCTACTTCGTGTACCGAAGCTCGGCGTCTGACTCACTGTGGCAAGCAACAGTCCACACCGACTGATGCGGCGTCCGGCAGCTGCTGGCGCCTGGTGGTTATACCGAAAAGCACTTTTCCGCAGTGTACACGGCCGTTTTATTTTCTCATTGCAGGATACACAGAGATATATCGCCAGAGATACGGTGCACAGCCCACCATCAGAGAGCAACTTTGGTACAAAGGTTGTTTTTCATTTTTGTTTAGCTTAAAAGATTAGGGACTTTGTACATTGCCTTCAGATAAGTCGGCTTAAATATCGGGAATTCTATTTATTGCACAACTGCCTGCCAATTCTTTTGGTTGCAAGTTTCATTTCTAGAAAAATACAAACTCAAACTCGGGATTCAGAAAAAGCGAATGTGTCAGCCGATTTAGGCTGCCACTGAAGGCATTTTTTGCAGGTCGTGATTGTACCCCTTGGCGCCTATCTCACTGCGCAGTGTGTGACCTCGCCCAATGCCCAACTGTCAGGGTGTATTGACCTTTACAGATTGGTGGTACATTTCCTGGAACGGTCTCTCGTTCACTGGTACACTGTCTGGCGCTGTTGAGTTGGCAGAAGTAGTTGCCAGTCTGCCTGGAACGGCCCCGTCGGCACAGTGGGCACCAGTCATTGGCACGAAGTGTGTGTACGTACTGCTGCTGCTAAAAGTGTGCGGTAGTGCGAATGTGCGCACATGCATCGCAATCCCTAGCAGTGTTTGTCCTGCACAGTACTTCCGCCATCAGAGCAAAGTGTCAGCCACTCTTATCGGGCTTTACTGCTTTGCTGCTCCTTTCTGTTGTGTCTGCAGACTGGCAACAATGCCTCTTGGTCAACGATGGCGGCAACATCGACGGCGGCAGCATCAGCATCAGCATCAGAGCGGAGATGGACGACACTTCAAAGTGTCGAGAGCTCTTTGCGCTTTCTGCCATTGCTGCCATTGCCGTTCCTGGCCGTGTTCACTGCAATTTGGCCTATTTATCAAGACTGCTGTGACACAGAAAGGCGCTGGCGAGTTGCAGCAACACCAGCAGACAATGTAGGTGTATGTGCTCTCTCGCCAGCAGACGATGTAGGGCGCATCGCCAACCCGAACGCTGCACTGCAACTGCAATGGGTAACACCCAACACATTGCCCAAACAGAGAGCACTTTGTATAGCTGCTGCCGAGGCGCATGCAGGCGCTGGTTGCCTTCCACTGCTGGCGCCCATTCGGGTTGGGCTGGTTGTGCTGCCGCCGCAACTGCCTCTGCAATGCCCAGCCTGCATCTGCCCCAGTGCTGCTGGCTTCTGGTTCGGCTGGGTTCACTGTCCGCTCAATGGAAGGCGATATGCCCGTTCTGGCTGCAGTGCCACTTTGCACAGGCTTCCACTGCACTGATGGCAGCTGTAGGTGCGGACACGGTAGAAGAATTGCCAGGCACAAGCACACTGCTGCCGTCGCCAGTCATCAGACCAGTTCTTGGCGGGCGCCCACTTTGTTGCACACTTTCTTCGCCGTTTTCTGCTGCTGTTGACTGGCAAGGCGATTGCTCCGACTGCGGTCGGACTGACGGTGAAGAGGAGGCTGACGAATGGAAATCGACACTGCAATTGAGAGCTGACAAGTGATGAAGAAGAAGAAGTTGCACTGCCGCCGCCGCAGCTGCCATCATTACCGGCTTCACAAGCTGCTTTCGCACACATTAGTAGTAGTACTGGAGAACAACAAGCACAACAAGGCGCCAGTTGTTAGCCATTTCCGCTCTCTCTCTCTCACTCGACGAGGCAGACAACGTACCCCGCACGCGAGGTTCATTGGCAATGAGTCATTGCGATTCTCTGCCTATTCTCTTCCTGTTTGTCCTCTCACAGAGCATTGTTCTCCGTGAAGAGATGGCGCTAATTAGTACTGAATGAATGTTGCTGCTGATGATGATGCCTCCTCTCGAGGCGTTGCAGTGTGTGCACTAGGAAGTTTGACGGCTAAACTGTGCGTGGTAAAGTGTCTTTGCACCCCCTTCTTCTGCACAAGTTCTTCACAAGACACCGCTTATTTGCACGTCATTTGTTTTTTGCGGAATCGTGTAGTACAGAATAGTGCAGTGTAGAATATAATGATGGTGGTGGTAGTTCAGTGACTGCTCGCTGTCGGTGAGGAGCCAGCTGCGCACCAGTCACTCACTCCGGCACTGTCAGTCCCCGTCTTGGTCACAGATGTGCTACTCCTCCTCCTCCTCATTCTCAAGAGAGGGCCATTGTTTCCGCGTTTTCCTTCCTTGCGAAATCCCTTTCATGGTTTGGTCTGCGTTTGGCTTCGCTGCCCAAGTATGGCTCCAAAGTGGCTGTAGCACATGTGCCCATCCACTGGAGGCCATTCCACTCTCTCTCTCTCTCTCTCTCTCTCACTTTTGTACACACAAACTTTTCTGCCTATCGCCGTACTAACAGTTCACTTTCTCATGACGCCTTCTTTCCCTTTCTTTCTTTGTTTCATTATTACAGCATCATCACACTCTCGGCGACCTTGTCAGACTGGTGGAGAAAAAGAGGAAGTGACCGTCGCTTATTCCTCGGCCGAGGACGGTATCCTGCAAAGCACATTCCAAACGAATCATTCCTGCAATGAGCATCAGCCTGCGAGAACCGCTCTCGAGCGGCCAGAAGACTGCCTCGCTGGCTGTGCTGTACTTTGTCCAAGGACTGCCCTACGGTTTCCAAGATAAGCTGGTGCCACTCGTACTGATAGAGCGTGGTCACTCTGCGTCTTCCGTCGCCCTGATACGTCTGCTGCTCCTCCCTTGGCTTGCCAAGCCTTTGTTGGCTCCGCTCATTGAAACGGTTATTGCCTTCTTACATCATCTCCCCCGCTGCGCGCGCTCTTTCTCTTTCTCTTCTCTATCTTCCTCGTTGATAAGAATGCTCAACTGACGTGTGTGTGAGCGAATATGCAAACACAAAGTGTGTGGGTTGCCTGCTCGCTTGCCTTTTGCGGAGAGGAGACACACATAGGCAGACAGTTGGACAGTTAGACAGTGAGACAGACAGACAGTCAGTGAGAGACTGATCGAATCAGGCAATTAAGAGAGGACTTAAGGTGCCGTTATGGCGGTGCGCAGGTCGTGCAAAGCCGACATCAACTGCGGTGGTATCCTCAGTGCCTGTGGCAGCAGCAGCAGCCTTGTGCCAGCCATGGTTAGCCTCCTGCCTGACGGCTCAATTGGCGGTGTGAGGTGCAAGCCAATCAGCTGCACTGATGGCCGAGGGCATCTTTCAAAGTCGCCCAAGAGTCCGCTCCTCCTGCTGCTGGTGTCCTACGTACAGGCGTGCCATACTGTTCTAGCCCTCTTGATTAAACTCTTTCAGCCAACGGTTTGCATTTTTTCCCTTCTGCCGGCAACGAGTTCAGGCAGACAGGGAAGCAAGCAAGTAGCCTACTGCTAATAGCATACACAATGAATTATGCAAAGAAGAAAAAATGTATAAGGGGCCACCATTTGGGCTATTTGTGAGGGAGACTTTTGATAAGGAGGTGAACCACCGCCGCCACCATCACAACCGTTGGTAACCCAAAATTGACTGGTGGACTAATTGAAAGTGTTTCTGCAGTTCCACGATCACTCGCCATCAATCACGGGCAGCGTCATTAGATCAGGCTTTCGCTCTCCTTCCTTTGCTTTTCTCGGAAGACGCTTACTTCCGTTTCTGGTGACTCTATTTACTACTATTTATACACACAGGTAAACCGTGCAAGTGCGCTTTCCCATCATCACGCAAGCAGCACTGGGAAGACCAATTGATTGATCAGTGTGGTGGCCAGTGGGCAGTGGAGACAGGCCAGGCCAACGACAACTCTGCTC